TCTGAGGGTGAAACTGGCACACAAAGGCTTATTTAGCGCACATAATTTTCTGATTTTTCTTAGATTTTGTAATAGAAATTGAGTTCATATAGTTAAAGGTGATAAATTCATAGTTACCTTTGTCATTTTCTAGGTTGTGTTTGATGCTATTGTTACTGCTGATTTACTATTTTAGCTAACAGGACATAATTGTTCTAACCAGCTATTTTTCTCATATTCCAAGAATGTGATGGCTAAGGGTCACAAAAGATACTGTGGGCTAATGCCAAAAAAAACCAAAGGTTGGGCCAAGTAGGCAGCAGCTTCTCATCCCCAATAAATTGATGAGGTAGCACCTTGCAACAGACTCAATACCCAAAAGCCAGCTATACCTGAAAGACACCTTTGAGAAGCTGTCATTTTCTAAATGTTCTAAATACTAGCAATAAAGTAAATCACCTTAGGCAATTTACAAGCACCAACTGAAGAATTAAACTAAAAAAAAAAGAAAGAAAAAAGATACTTAAGTTGCAACACCAGACATCCAGTTTACCAAAGGCAAACCCAGGGGACAATGAAGTGGGACAAACTGAAAGCCACTCACTCTAATGCTACCTCCCTGAAATGGTAGCAACCAAGCAAATGAACAAGGCTCTAGGAAAAAATGAAATCAGAAATAATCTCTCAGATAACCACAGAGACGGTAACCATAGTGAGAAACATGCTTAATGACTCAAGTAGATACAGATTAATAAATAAATAAATAAGCCAATAAATACATAAATAAATAAAAGAGCTTAGGTAAATGATGGAAACCATGACTTCTCAACAAAGGAAACAAACAGAATCCATACAACAGATTCATGTAGATACACAGGAAATAAAAATTCTACTGAAAGTATATGTAGCAGAAAAACCAATGTGAGGACAGAATCTCAGAAACAGAAGACAGGCTTGAGTTTAGCAACCATGAAAACAAAGATGCCTTAAGAACAGCAAGGGACCACAGGTAATCAATCCAGCAGCTGCTAGATGATCTAAAGAAGAATAACATTAACTTGACTGAAGTCAATGAAAAAGCAGAAGGCACAAATCATATATATATATATATATATACATACACACACACACACACATATATATACACACCTGTTCACAGACATCATGACTGAAAACTTCCCTAGTAGAGAAAAAGAATCTGACTTACACAGATGAGACATATAGAACTCCAATTAGTCATAATCAAGAGAAATATACAGCAAAAAAGAAGAAAGAAATATACAGCAAGCCACATCATACATTCTAGAAATTCAATGCAAGAGCAGAATATTAAAAGCTGTTGGAGAAAGGAAACAAATCATCTATAAAGAAAGATCATCAGAATCACAGCTGACTTCTCAACAAAAACCCTCAAATCAAGGAGAGCTTGAAGCATTTCAAGTCCTAAAAGAAAACAACTTCCAACCTAGACTGATGTGCCCTGCAAAACTATCTATCAAAATAGATGGGAAATAAGATACTTTTCTGACAAAGAGCACATGAGGAAATTCATGAACACCAACCAGCACTCCAAACTGTTCTGAAAGACATTCTAGAAAGAGATAACAAGGACTACAACTCCATGAATCTCATGTAACAGAATGAATCTGACTATGGACTGAAATCTCCACAAATTGTGAGCAAAATAAACTTTCTTTCCTTAGTTTTGGGGATCAGGTATTTTGTTTCAGCAACAAGAAAAAAGTAATTGAGATAGATGGTCTTTATCTCAATCTGATAAAAGCCATCTATGACAAACTAATAGCCAACATCACACAGAATGAACAAAACCTCAAAGCTTTCTTCTAAAATCAAGAACAAGACAAGGATGTTTATTGTCACCACTCTTATTCAACAGAGTTCTGGGATCTTTAGCCAGAGGAATTAAAGAAAAAAAGAAAAGGAGTATCAACAGGAAAGGAAGAAATTAAATTGGCATTATTCACAGATAATATGGTAATGTACACTGAAAACCCCAAAAATCCCACCAAGTAATAACCAAATTCAGTAGCACAGCTAGATACAAAGTCAACGCTCAAAGATCAATAGTCTTCCTGCATACAATTAACAAACTCACTGTGAAACACCTTTCACAGTAGCATCCATAAAATGAAATACATACAAATCAATCTAACAAAGAAAGTAAAAGATCTCTATTATTAAAAAGACAGTATTCTAAAAGAGAAGATTAAAGAGTATATCAGAAAATGGAAAGATATCCTTTGATCTTGGGTAGAAAAAACCAATATAGTGGAAATGGCCATACTTTCAAAAGTGTTATACAGATTTAGTTCAACTCTCACCAAAATTTCAGCAGCGTATCTTACAGAATCAGAGAAAACAATACTAAAATTCATTTGAAACCAGAAGAGACCTAGAATAGCAAAGGCAATTCTGGGCAACAAAGGCAAGGCAGGAGGCATCTCGATCCCAGACTTGAAATTACACCACAAAGCCACTGTGATAAAAACAGCATAGTACTAGCAAACAAAACAAAACCAAACCAGACTCAATCAGTGGAACAGATTAGAAAATGCAGAAATGAGGTGCTGGGGATTTAGCTCAGCGGCATAAGCACCTGCCTTGCAAACAGGCGGTCATGAGTTCAATCCCCGGTACCAATAAAAATGAAAAAGACAAAAAAAAAAAAAAAAAGAAAGAAAATGCAAAAATGACTTCAGTCATACATAGGCACCTTATCTTTGATAAAGTTGCCAAATACAGTCATTGGAAGAAAGACAGTCTCTTTAATAAATGGTGCTGGAAAAACCAGCTCTCCACATGTCGAAGACTAAAACTAGATCCATATCTCTCACCATGCATTAAACTAAAGTCAAAATGGATATAAGATCTAAATATTAAACGGAAACATTACATTTGTACAGTAGCTAAAACTCTCTCTCTCTCTCTCTCTCTCTCTCTCTCTCTCTGTACTGGGGATCGAGCTCATGACCTCACACTTGCCAGGCAGCTGAGCTAAATCCTGGCCTTAGATAGTAAGCAGAACTCTTGAAGACACTGGTGTAGGTGAAGACTTGATGAAAAAAAGCCCTGATTGTATAAGAACTATCACAAAGAATCAACAACTTGGATCTCATTAAAAAACTTTTGTAGGGCAAGAGAAACCACCAACAGACTAAAGAGATAACCCACAGTGTGGAAAAAAATGTTTTCCAGCTGTTTCTTAGACAAAGCTATTTCTAACTATTTCTCTAGAATTTTAAATGAAAAACAAAAGGCCCTCCAAATTTAAAGATCCAATGCTAAAATGGCATCTGAAAAATATATATGCACTTCTTAGATGAAGAAATACAAACAGCATGTAAATATATGAAAAGATGTTCAACATCATTGGTCATTCGAGAGATGCAAATTAAAACAACACTGAGATGCCATCTTAACCCAGAAAGAATGGCTATGATTAAGAAATCAACCAATAAGGGGCTGGGGATTTAGCTCAGTGGCATAAGCGCCTGCCTTGCAAGCAGGCAGTTGTGAGTTCGATCCCTGGTACTGATAAAAACAAAAAAGACAAAAAAAAAAAAAAAAAAAAAAAACAAATCAACCAATAACTAATACTGGTGGGCCTGTGGGGAAAAAGGAACCCTTCTCTACTGTTAGTGGGAGTGTGGACCGGTGCAAACACTGCAGAAATCACTGAGGAGATTTCTCAAAAACTAGTACTGTTGCTCTTCTTGGTATCTCCCCAAAAGAATTAAAAACATCAACCCACAGTGATATATGCTGTGAATCATTAAGGGAATCAGGAAATACACATGCAGCACTGCATAGACATGGGCATATTTTGTGGCTAAGCTTAGCTACAATTTCAGACTCCTGACATCATCCCTTCTTGGTTCGGTGGTACCTCCATGCCCTGTGAGCCTCAGTTTCCCTGTCCACCCACTTCATGAGGCTAATGTGCCCTCAGGGCAAGGCATATAGCTGCCCCCTGTATATGGAAGCTATCATTAATTAAATAATTGGCCTTCATAAATGCACAATTGAGAAACAGACGCCAATTTACAACCAAGGAACTGGCCCCAATTCTAGATCTGCAGTTTCACATATCTGCCTCTAGCAAGGTTCTGCCCTCACCCATCTCAGGCAACAAGCAGGGTAACAAAAGATCTGATCAGGAGCTAGCTTTAGCCTCAAGTCTGGAGAAAGCTCATTCCAAGCTCCAAAGTTGGCTGCCCCAAGGAGACAGGCCCAGCCCTACAGTTACCAGAAGCAATGCCTGCCCAGCAGAGCAACCTAGATTGACACGCACCAGATGTGGGACACCAAGACTACTGCTGATACGTGCACATGCTCCCCTGGAGGCTGCCCTTTCTGGCTGGCTATCTCTCCAGGAAGGGGCTTCTCTATGTTTCAGTAGTGTCAACCTAACGCAGGGTCAGCAAAGGACAGGAAGTCAAGCACAGAGAGCAGGACTGTGTACAAGGTCTACTGCTATCAGGGGTCCAAGCTGAGGGCTCCAAAGATGCAGCGATGGTGTCTCAGGATGAGGGATAGGAGTGTTCAGCGTGAGCACACACGGTCATGGCCTTCCATTCAAGCACACTCATGCATTTACAAATACACACTTGGTTATCTCCACAGAGGTGCACATATTTTACAAACACACAGTCACAGGTGTGTGCACAAGCACATTCTCCCACAGTACAGGCCTCTAAATGCTTTTCACACCCATCACCACAAACTCTCTCTCTACAACTGCCTGGGAGGGAAATAGGGTTAACACTAAAGGGGAACCCTCACCCAGGCCTGCCCACACGCACCTGCTACACCCACACTGGGGAGGGGGTCCTCGCGCTGCTCTGGCCTCCTCACATCCCTTAACACCTAGGTCCCTGTCCCCCACCCAAAGCCCTCGGGCCCCAAGCCTACCCCGCCAAGCCCAGCTCCCCGCAGGCCTCCTTCCCACCCCGGTGTCGCCAGCATTCCTGCTTCTTACCACCTGTGGGGCCCGTCCTTACCTGCGGAGCGCCAGCACCAGGGCTGGCCGCGTCTGCCGTCTGCCATTACCAGTCGCGGCCCGGCCCGGCCCGCGGCTTCTCCACTCAGAGAACTGCGGCAGCCTCGCGGGGCCCGCCCGGCGCCAGGTGCAGCGTAGGGCGCGGCGTTGGGGCCCAGCCAGCCGCGGTCCTGCGCCTCCACGCCTAGAAAGACCTCGCAAGGCCAGCAGAGGGCAACGGCGCCTGGGGCGCCTGACTTCAGAGGTGGGATCCGGTGAGGCTCCTCCTTCTTTCCGGTCAACTGCCACTGGCACGTGGGGCGGAGCCGAGAGTGATTGACAGCGAAGGTCCTGTCTTTAGGGGCGGGGCGGGGGGAGGGCACCGATCAAGAAGGGAGGGGGCTGTTCCTTCTCAACCCACCCAGTTTTTCCTGAATTGCCCTGGGAGGAATAAAGTTTGATGAAAGGTCTAGAGTGCCATGTCCTGTATTAGGATGAATGAGTGAATAAATTTGGGGGAGGTAAAGCTATTTCAAAACAAAAAATACATGGCCATGTAATGATAGGAGAACAAACTATGCTTTTTTTACTAAATAAACTCTCATTGCTTAAAAGAGCCAGCTCTATTTCTTTTAAATACCACACTTCTTTATAGCATTTAAAATGAAATTATTTACCAAAGGTTTGACTAGTCGGCAGCTTTTCCAGGACAGGAACAGACACAGTGTCTGCCATGTGTTACGCCCCTGATGGTGCTACACCTAAACCATCTAGTTAACGGTTACTGTCTCTTCCCTTTTCCCTGCTACAAAGCTGGTGCTCAGAGAGTGGCAGCAACATGCCCAAGGGCAACGCTGGTGCCCAAGGGCAACGCTGGTTGAATTAGAGCTCAATTCTTTGATCCCCAGGTGTGAGCTCTCATGCCAACTCTCACCCCTCCCACCGTGGAGATGTCTGTAGCTGAAGGTCTTGCTTTCAGAGAGGGTCCTTTCCATTTTGTGTTCTGCTCCATAACGCTCAGACAAGGTTGCAGTCTGAGCTGGTCTCATGCAACATTGAGGAAGTTCACAAAGTTTGTGTGTGCTGCGTCTTAACTCTTTCGAAAGCGTCCATTTGCTGAGCTGTCTGAGCTCCCAGCCAGTCAGTAGTTTCATCTGTGCCTTACGGGCTCCCCAAGCCAGTGCCCAAGTTATATGACCAAATTACTTGTAGCGCCAGTCATCCTGTTCTGTATGCGCCATCTTCCTGGGTGACCTAATGGATATGTTAATCATTGCTCCGCTCTGCAAAGGATTGTAAATTCCTGGGAATCTGACCTAATTGATATGCTAACCATTGCTGCCCTCTGCAAATGACAGATGTTATCTAAAATTGAGTGCTAAAATAACTTGACAAAGGATTGTAAATTCCTGCGAGAACTCTCTGTCCTCTGCAAAGGGAAACAAAGGTCTTCCTCATTCCTTAGAGGATCAAGGATTTTCTCATTTCCTAATCCATGCCCATAACCCCTTACTTTGTAAATTGTATTTGCTAAAAAAAAGTTTGAAGGTGGGACACACAGCCTTGGGAACGGGAACTGCACTGTGTCTCTGGGCCCAGGAAAAATAAATCAGCACTGCATTTTCTTCAAAGACACATTTTGCCCCATTTTTGGACTCCAGGTTGGAGGGGAGCTCATTTTTGGGCTATAAGAGTTAGCAAGAGTAAAGCCTAGAATCCAGTTTAGAGACGTTGATTTTCATTGTGCTCAAAACCTCTAATCAAGTTTTCTTTCTCTCACCCAGATTTCTTCCTTCTATCTCTGGTTTGTTTTCACACATGAAAAAACATCTTCTAAATGCAAAGATAAAAATGGACATTAATTGTTAACAAGGAACCCCTAGAACAGAAGCCACTCGACTTGCTTATTTGGAACTACAAAGCTGTATCTGCTCCACTGAATAGGAAAGAGGTAGCCAGATATAATTTCATATGATTACCCTGTAATAAGAGTTTTCTCCACAATTCTTCACTAAGTGTTTTTGAGCACATACACTGACTGCCTACAAGTCAACCCTCTCCATCCAACCTTTTTCTAGGCAGGTGATGTACTGCTGAGTTGTATTCCTAAGCTTCCTAAACCTTTTCCCATTTCCTAAATCTTTCCCCCCTTCCTTGAAGATTCTCCTTGCAAGAAAATCTAGGACTTCGGAGAACATGGAGGACAGATAGCAGCAGCTACGGAGGCTCTCTGAAAGACCCAGCTTAGAATTCAGGAATGGTGCGGAGTAAGGAATCATAAGCAAGAGGAGATATGTCCTGCTGACCCAAGAAAATGAACTTGGCTGAGAGAAAACAAATGGGAATGCAATCCTGATGCTATAACAGGACCAGAAAAGCCTCAGTGTGGAAGCTGGAGCCCGCAGCATTGGAAGCCATGATTTGGGTTTCCTGCTGCTGCGTCTACATCAGCTTGGCAGGGAGAGAGACGTGCGAAAGCTCTGAGAATGGGAATCGGTGAATGGAGTTGAAAGCAGGACGGGTGTGGAGCTGTGCATTGACCTGCAGTGAGTGAGAGAAACTGGGACTCTTCCACGGTTTAGGAGACTCCAACAGAGGACATTCTGGGACCAGGAAGACTTGCGGGAACAGGGCACTGCAGTGACTTCAGTCACGTATCCCCCTCTCAAGCGGGATTAGTGAGCAGTGCCTAGCCTATGTAACACTGCTGGCTGAGACCCAGTAGGCTAGCACAACTCAGGTCCCAGTGCCTGAAGGTAGATTGACCTGGAAGGGCGAGCCCCGCATAGGCTGCCTGGTCTGCAACTTCCTGGTGCGCTGTGGTGGGTGGGAACACCTAGCTGGCGCAATTCAATCAGACTGTGGCCAACAGGGAAGGAAGCTGGGCCTCCTATATACACTTGCATATATAAGGAACAAAGAATATGGGAAGAGGCAGCAACAAGAAAGGCTCCTCGGCCCCCAATCCTGAGAAAGAGGCAATAGCAGACACAGCACCAATAGATATAAAGCGCTACCTCCAGAACCTCATAGACAAGTTCAGGAATGAAGTTATTAATGACCTGAAGCTAGACATAAGCAGAATAATTAGAGAAATGCTAAGCACCACCGAAGAAAAAACAGATGCTGGAATGGAAGAACAGCAAAAGAGGGTGAATTGCTTGATGGAGAAAATAGAGAAAGCATAGAATACATGAAGCAGGTTCAAAGAGATTACCAGGAAACTAAAAAGTCTATCAAAAACTGGCATAACAGCTTGAAAGAAACTAAGGACAGATTATCTGAACTGGAGGGCAGATTTGTAATATGGGAGCATGAAGTGAAAAACTTCTTAAAAATAATAAAGAAACAAACAGCAATAATACAAAGACTAGAAGATGATAAGAGGATCTATAACTTAAGAATTAAGAACATAAAAGAAGAACTAGGGACCCAAACAAATGAACTACAAAAGCTACTCACAGAAATAATCCAGGAGAATTTTCCTAATTTAGCAAAAGGTAAAGATACTCAGTTGTATCTCAGTTGTTTCCTGAAGCATACAGGACCCCAACCACCTACAACCCAAACAGAGCAACACCCAGGCATATAATAATTAAAATTCCAGAAATCCAATACAAGAACAGAATATTAAAAGCTGTCAGAGACAAGAAACAGATCACTTACAAGGGAACACCCAACAGAATTACAGCAGATTTCTCGGCACAAACCATTAAATCACGAAGAGCGTGGGGGGAAATAATTCAAGCTTTGAAAGGTAATAATCTCCAGCCAAGATTGATATGTCCTACAAAACTATCCCTGGAAATTGATGGAAAAACAAGGTGCTTCCAGGATAAAGAGGATCTAGGGGAATATGCAACCATCAATTCAACTCTACAGAGAATACTGCGGGATATTCTAAAAAAGAAAAATACGAAGAATCCAGAAATAGTGGCAGAGAGGCCACAATGAATGGAGCAGAAAACAAAATGAAGAAGACAAACTGACAACCTATGACAGAAAAAGAGCTCAACAGAAATGAGACAGAGAAGATTGGATGATAGGAACAGCTATTTTGGAGAAAATGACATCTTAATAGGTAATACTGATTTAGTATCTTCTTGTTTTGAAGTCTCATCAAGCTTTTGTTCTTCTGTCTCTATTGGTCTAAACAGGTTGTATCTTATTGGATTTTATTATATATGATAGTATAAGCAAAAACTTTCATAGACAAGGAGATTATACAGAAACCATTGTTCATTTTCTGTTAGTTGATTCTAAATACACTGTAATACTGTCATTCTCTTAAATGGTTTTACATTGTTTTGATATATTTGATGCTACAGTATATGAAGCTATACTCAAAGATTTCAAGGAAAGAGACAATATGGTAACTACTTTTATGTTGGGATTATCTTGTGGTGAAACACTATTTTGCTTAAATGGTTACATTTTGATCTGCACTGTTTTGCTGTTATGCCCTCTTTTATCTCAATCTCCATTTTATTATTTACTTTTTTATTTTTATCCTTTTAATGAAGGGAAAAATAAAAAATAGCAGGATATATTATAGTAACCTACTTTGACTTTCCATTATCTTGATTTAAAGCCCTGTATTGCTCTCACCATCTTGTTTTGACTGATGTTCCTCTATTCTGTTTTGCTTGATAGTACCAGGTTCGAAAGTTTAGGCAACAGCTGTGAAGATAGTGCGATTCATTATGACGCCCATTCTGGTTGACTATTATCTACTTTTGAAGACCTATAATGTCTCCAATGTTTTGGTTTTGTTGGTTTTGTTCTTTACTGTTTTGTTCAATTTTATTATAACTGATGATATAGGCAATTCTATTAGAGATAGTGGGAGGCATTATGGTAACCATTGTTGATCACCTTGTATTTTGTTTTTACATTATCTATTATGTGCACCCTTTTGATTTGACTGACTCTGTTCTGTTATGTCACATTTGGTTCTACTCTCTTCCAAAAAAGTAGTAAGAACTGTGGGAGCAACAAAACCCAAAATGTGTAATTGTCATTGTACAAAAGAGAGGAAAAGAAAGTGCTCTAAATGATATAACTGCATGTATATTTAAGTGTATAAGATAGATAATGATATTACTGAGTTTTGTTGGATCATTGAACAGAACTGTTTGCAGTCTCACTGTTGGAATGTCCACTTTATAAGCTTTAATTTTGTAACTTGAACAATTATTTCTAAGATGACAATATGTAATCCATTAACTAGTGATTTCCTACTGTTTATTTTTTTCTGTAAATCTGTATAACTTGTACCCTTTCTCTGCTTTTTTTTTCTTTTT